GGGGGTAGGTTGTGGGGGCTCGGGGGGGCTCGGGTGGGGAGGAATTATTCCAGGTTTGGTTTCAAAGTAGTATGATTGCACATGTATATTGTTTTCTCTTACAACATGATATTCTCTATGTAACAATATACATGTGATTATATGTTATGGAAATGAAAATAAAATATTCTTAAACTCAACAACTATGATCATACATTGAGGACTACCTATAGGAATTGACTAACTGCTGTGAGTGCAGAGAAGTTCTCCCACTCTTCGCAATGTAGAATGAGATTACCTTAGCATGGATATAAAACAAAGTCTTACTTTTTGAGAAACTTGTGGTAGACATCTGTAGAAAGACTAAGCAAAGCCTCTGATTAACATGCTGGAATCTCCAAGAGGCAATTGAAATTGAAATAGAGGATCCTTTGCTTCAGTAAACCGTTTATTTCTTCAGAAATAGGTGGATTTGTGTTGTTTCAATGCTTTTCATGTTTAAGCTTTCCGCATTTTGGCCAAATACGTTTTTGTTCATTCTTATATGGTGCAATCTCTTTTATTCTGGCACTTCAAAACCACATTCTCTTGATATTTTGAAAGCGTCATTCATCTGTAGTATTCTTTCACTTTCCCAGTCCTCTTCCACAGGAGTACCCACCTGATCTTCCATTAATTTTAGTTTTATTTCAAATTCTTACAAATCTATGATGATGTGGTTGTAGTTGCTCCCTGCATATGAATTACCAGTAAAGAGGAATGGCCTTCATACCAGAGGTGGTATTCAGCAGGTTCTGACTAGTTCTGGGGAACCGGTAGCAAAATTTTTGAGTACGGTAGGTCGGAGAACCGGTAAATAGATCTTTTTCTTCCTTTGAAGGTTCAAAGCCAGTTGCTTCTGTAAGAGCTTTAAAGCTGTTTTGGAATTGAATATCTTCTGTGTCTCTTGCTTCTGGTTGTCATTCTTATCTGCTTTACTTGTTCCTTTGTTTACATTTCTTCCTCACGGAGTTACTTTTTTTGTTGCTTGCTGTTGTATCATCCCCTTTATTCCCCCCAAAAAATCTTTGTTCTTTCTTATGAATGGTAATACGGTCACGGCTGCCCATTTCTTATTTTGAAAATTAGACTTCTTTTTAAAAATCACATCGGCACAATAACACCTGAATATTAATTAGGCAAATAGTATTTTAGGAAGCTAATAGGTATCATCTTTCACACTGTTACAATAAAAATGTGCAATGTTGAGTAATAATGAATTTTTTAAAGATTCAGGTGTTTAATATTTTTAAAGAGTTAGAATGCTATTTCTGAGGCAGCAAAGAAACTTTCTTCCCAAATTGGTGGTTTGTCCATGTTTCATTATACGGTTGAGTGAAATACTCTTTTAATAATAGTTAAAGGATTAGAAGTATAGCATTCTTGAAACCCTGTCATACAATTAATTACAATTAATTATATAACATGTTTGCATGTTTACATTTTTTTCTCTTTATGTGTCTTTTGAATTCTGGGATGGGGTGAAGGAAAATTGATATAAATATCTTAGTTAAAACTATCAGTCCATGCTTCTTCAGATTAATCTCTTGGGAGACCGATACACTGTTTTAGTTCTTCTTAGGCCCTTTCTTATATGAGGAGATTTGTAACTAATAATAGTTAGTGATGAATCTAGATATGAGCTTCATTAACCATAGGAGCCCTAGTGACACAGTGGTTAAAGCGCAGTATTGCAGGCTAACTCTGCCACAGCCTGGAATTTGATCCTGATGGAGCTCAAGGTTGATTCAACCTTCCATGAGGTCGGTAAAATGAGGGCCTAGCTTGTTGGGAGCAATATGCTGACTCTGTAAACAGCTCAGAGAGTGCTACAAAGCACTGTGGGGTGATATATGTCGAAGTGCTATTGCTTTTGCTAAAATCCTGATTTCTCTGTATCTACCGTTTCTTTTTACTTTCTTAATTAANAGAGACAGAGACAGAGACAGAGACAGAGACAGAGAGAGAAATATTGTATTTCAGTGCTTATTTTGTGAGATAATCAAATCTCAAAATGATCTCAGATATTATCTGTTTTGGCATGCATAAATATTCCACTGGCAGAAAGATAGTATGTACTCAATCATCTGCATAATGTCCTTTTCCCTCAAGGAAAACCTGATCAGGCGCACATTATCCAGTCAGGCTTTGTATACTCCTGGGTGTTGGCATTGTGTAAATTAACATCTGTCACTTCTCCCTGAATTTTTGTTGGCATGTAGTATGGAGTGTTAATGTTGGCTAATCCTTTCGATCATTGGTGTAAGTGAAAGAATTCTAAACGTCAGCCATTTTTAAATGGAGCACTCCTGGCAGCAAACCTATAATTAAAAATTTGTTTAAATATATATTTGAAGTTATGTACTGATTTCAATGTGCAGGTGTTGTAGATGAATGGCAATACTTTTCCAATAAAGGTATTCTTATTAGGCCTTAGAATGTTTTTCAAATATTCATGCTTGAGGCAGACTTCATCTCCCCTCCCACAGAAATTTCTGTGTTACCGTGATAGCAGGGATTCCAAAGAGATTTGCAAGAGGTAGTACCTCTTGAAAAGTAGCACATATAACTTTTTAAATGACAGCACTTCATTAGGAATCATAAAAACATGTCATTTACTCAGTTTTGTTATTTGTTAACTGTGATATATTTTAATATCTTTTATTTATTATTTAGTATCATTTGTTTACTAAATGGTATATTTATTAATATATTTTCTCACCATGTTGTGGCCATAGCTAAAAAAGTGAACTTACTTTCCTTAAGATATAATTCAACAAGGGGTTGTTTGTTTTTTTTCAACTAGGATGAAGATAGTACAAATATGCAGTAGTTTAATGAAATGTGAAAAGTTTTATAAATCTTTGCAGACAATTTAAATAGAATGTGTCTTAAAGCTGCCTTTGGCTTCTAGAGCAGTGATGTGCAGCATAGAAATTTAATAAATATATTTAATAAATAGATCTAGGTTAAAATACAGGTAGTCCTTGATTTACAACATTTAGGGAGTGTTCAAAGTTGTAACTTCAATAAAAAAGTGACATGTAAACTTTTTGTAAGTTTTTCACACTTATAGCCATTGCAGCATTCCTATGGTCATGTGATCAAATTTTGAATGCTGGACAACTAGTTCATATTTATGATTGTTGCAGTGACCACATTGCAACCTTTTGATAAGCAAAATCAATGGGGAAGGCAAATTCACTTAACAACCATATTACTAATGTAACAACTGCAGTGATGCACTTAACAACTGTAGCAAGTAAGGTGGTAAAATGGGTCACAATTCACTTGACCACTGTCTCATTTAGCAACAGAAATTTTGGACTCTATTGTGGTGGTAAGTCAAAATCTACCTGTAATGGATTACAGTACACAGCTCTTGAAGAAAAGACAGTCCTCTGTAAAGATAGTTATAGAGATAAGAGATATATAGAAATAGATATATAGATACACATACACCACCCACAATGTAGGACTATATTCCAGTCTTAGTTGCTTTAGCTGATTTCTCTGCACCAGATAAGATCACAATTGGCAAAGGCATTCTGACTTCCATTTGCTGTTCAAGCAGGAGCTGTACGTTCAGAAGGGTACCCAAATCTCAAATCTGCTATTTCTGGAATAATACTTGCCCAGAGATAACACTGATATTAATAGAACAATCTGATCAACAATG